AAGTTAAATTGTCTCTGTTTGCAGATGACAATGTCTCTTATGGACAAACACTTTAGACTTCACCATAAAACTGCTAAAACTAAAAATAAATTCGGTAAAGTTTTAGAAAAATAAACAAACATACAAAAATCAGTAGTGTTTCCATACACTAACAACAAAAAAATTTAAATCTCATTTATAATTTGCACAAAAATAAAATACTTAGAAATAAATTTAGCCAAGTAGGTGAAAGATTTTTACATTGAAATCTATAAAACACTGATAAAAAATGAAGAAAAATAAATGGGAAGAATTCTCATGTTTATGGATTGGAAGAAAAGACATTACACAATATTCTACACTATTCAAAGCAATCTACAAATTCAATGCTGTCCCTACCAAAATTCCAATGAAATTTTTCACAAAAATAGAAAAGACAATTCTAAAATTAACATAGAAGCACAAAGTTTCTGGATTGACAAAGCAGTGTTGAACAGAAAGAACAAAGCTAGAGAAATCACTCTACTTGATTTCAAAATCTACTACAAAGCTTTTGTAATCAAAATACTATCAGGTTGGGTGCAGTGGCTCATGCCTGTAATTCCAGCACTTTCAGGGGCCAAGGCAGGAAGATCGCTGGAGGTCAGCAGTTTGAGACCACCCTGGGTAACATGGTGAAACCCCATCTCTACTAAAAATACAAAAACTAGCCGGGCATGGTGGTGTGCAACTGTAGTCCCAGTTACTTGGGAGGCTAAGGAAGGAGGATCACTTGAACCTTCCAAGAGGTGGAGGCTGTGGTGTGCTGACATCGCACCACTGTACTCCAGCCTGGGCAACAGAGCAATACTCCATCTCAAGAAATGAAACACAAAGCAAAACATCAAAAGAAGATAAAAATGGACACAGCGGGCAACAGAACATAGTAAGGAGCTCATAAACAAATCCACACGTTTACACCCAAAATGACTTTTGACAAAGATGCCAAGAATACAATGAGGGAAAGAGCTACCTCTTTAATAAATGGTGTGGAGAAAAGTGGATATCCACATGTCAAAGAGTGAATTAGACCTTCATCTTCCATCGTATACCAAAATCAACTCAAAATGAATCAGAGCCTTAAATATAAGACCTGAAACTGTACAACTTCTAGATGAAAACAGAGGAAATGCTTCATGATATTGATGTGGACAATGATTTGCATATATAATTGTGACTAAATGAAAACAAAACCCCAATTTATCATCAAAATTTGTAGGATGCAGTGAAAGTAGTGCTTAGAGGGAAATTTATAGAATCAAATGCCTATATGAAAAAAGAAGAAAGATGTAAAAATCAATCTGCTAAGTTTTCATCTTAGGAAATGAGAAGAAGAGCAAATTAAAGCAAAGGAAGCAGAAGAAAATAAATAACAACATGAGCAGAAATACATGAGACTGAAAACAGGAAATCAGTAAAGAAAATCAATGAAAACAAAAGCTGGTTCTTTGAAAAGAAAAGTAAAATTGACAAGGCCCTTGCCAAGGTAACTGAGAAAAAAAGAGGAAAGACACAAATGAATAATATCAGCAATGAAGTAGGGGACATCACTACAAATCTTATGGACAGGAAAATAATAAAGGAATACCATGAATAAATCTATGCCCACTAACTTCATAACCTAGATGAAATGTACCAATTCCTTGAAAGGTGCAATCTGCCAAAACTCACACAAAAAGAAATAAACGTTCTGAAGAAACCTAAATATATATATTAAAAGAATTGAATCAGTAATTACTTTTCAAAGCTGAAGGTATCAGGCATAGATACAGTCACTTTTAAATTCTATCAAACATTTAAGAAAGAAATTATGCCAATTCTCTACAGTCTCTCTCAGAAGATAGAAGCAGAAGTAATACTTATTGCCCATTATTAACCTAATACCAAAATCAGACAAAGGTACTAAAAGCAAAGAAAACTGCAAGCCAACATTTTCTATGAATATAGATGCAAAAATCCTCAACAAAACGTTAGCAAATAGAATCCAACAATGCAAAAAGAATTATACACCATGACCAGGAAAGATTTATCCCTGTTATGCAAGACAGGTTTAATATTAGAAAATCCATTACTGTAATCCATCACATCAACAAGATAGAGGAGAAAAATTAAGAGTTTATCAGTAGAGGCACAAAAAGTATTTGTAAAAATCCAACACTCAGGCATCATAAAAACTCTCAGTAAACTAGGAATAGTAGAGAACATCCTCAACTTGGTAAAGAATACCTACAAAAAGTCCTACAGTTTACATTATGCTTAATGGTGAGAAACTGAAAGCTTTCCCACTAAGATCAAGAAAAAGGCATGAATACTCCCTTTCACTATTTATTACACTGGAAGTCCTAGCTAATGCAATGAGAAAATGAATGAAAAGAAAAGGTACACAGATTAAGAAAAAATAAAATGATCTTCCTTTGCAGATAACATGTTTATGTGGAAAGTCCAAAATAATTGATCCAAAAACCTCCTGGAACTAATAAGTAATTATAGCAGGATGCAAAGTTCAAGGTTGATACAAAAGGCTATCACCTTTCTATATACCAGCAATGAACAACTGAATCTATAATTTAAAAATCACCCTACTTATATTAGCATACAAAAATAAAATACTTGGGTATAAATTTAACAAAATATAAGATCTATATGAGGAAAACTATGGAACTGTGATAAATAATGTCAAGGAAGAACTCAACAAATAGATATTTCACATTTCTGGAGAGTAAGACTCAATGATTTCAGTGCTTCCCAACTTGATCTATAAATTTATTATATTCTCCACCAAAATATCAGCTAGTTATTTCATAGATAATAACAAACAACAATTTTAATTTCTATGAAGAAATTAAAAACTGGTGCTGTGCTACTTTAAGACACCGGAAAGCTACAGAGTTCAAGAAAATGTGGTTTGGCAAAAGTATTGGAAGGTAGATCAATTGAAGAGAACAGTGTCCAGAAATAGATCCACATTAATATGAGTCAACTGATCTTTGACAAGGGAGTAAAGGGAATTCAACTGAGAAATAACATTTTCAACAAATGGTGCTCAATCAGGCATCCACATTAAAAAAATATGAATCTAGACACAGAACTTACACTCTTTGCAAAACTGACTCAAAATAGATCACAGATATAAATGTAAAATAAAAAACTATAAAACCCTAGAAGGTAACACTGAAGAAAATCTAGATGGCGTTGGCTTTGGTGATGATTTCTTAGATGCGACCCCAGAGGCATGATGCATGGAGGAGAGAACTGATAAGCTGAACTTCATTAAAATAAAAACTTCTGCTCTGCAAAAGACATTGCCAAGAGAACAAAAGGACAAGCTACAGATTGGGAGAAAATATTTGCAAAAGATCTGTCAGACAAAAAATTGTCATTCAAAACACACAAAGAACTCATAAACCCAAAAATAAGAACATGAACAATCTGATTTTTAAAATGGTCCAAAGGCTTTAATATACATCTCACCAAAGAAGATATACAGATGACAAATAAGTATATGAATAATAGGAAAGCATGAATTAAAGCCACAGGGTGATACCACAGCACACCCACTGGAATGGCCAAAACCCAGAACACTGACAACAACATATGTTGGCAGAAATGTGGAGCAAAAGAAACTCTCACTCAGTGCTAATAGAAATGCAAAATGCCATTTCCACTATTGAAGACAGCTTGGTGGTTTCTTACAAAATTAAACATGGTCTTTTTTTTTTCAATAAACATATAAAGGTATTTAATTAAATGCATGAGTAATCAGAAAAATTCAAATTTAGATGGAATCCCTTTTATTCACCCATAACATCAACAAAAAGTTGGAGAATACCAAGTGGTGAAAAAGTGTGGATAAATGAATGCTGTCATATTCTACTGACAACAGAGTAAGTTGACACAACATTTTTGAGGGTAATTACAATTTTTCGTCTACATAGTCATAAATACCACATATCCCAACAATTCCATTTCTAGATATTTATTCTACAGGAATAATTTCCCATGTTCACAAAGAAGCATGTGCAGGGATTTCATTGCAGCAATGCACATAACAAGAAAACTAAATGTAATCTAAACATTCATCAATGGGGGAATTATTAAATAAACTATGATGCATCCATACTATGGATTATGCAGAAGTTTAAACGAATAGGGTAACCCTCTAAGTACTGGGAAGGAAAGAAATCTAAGGCATATCATGAAGTGAAAGAATCAAGTTACAAGATGTTACCACTTAGGTAAAGAAAAAAGATTTTAAAAACCATACAACAAATCTTTTTGCTTCATGTAAATATGTATGTAGGCAATGGGAAAAAGTCTTGAGAAATACACACTAAATGCAGGGTAGCGTTACCTCAGGGATGAGGGAGTAGGGCACAAGGAGGGTTTTTGTTATATCTGTTACTTCATTTTTATACATTAAAAATAAAATCATGGGCTGGGGGTGGTGGTTCATGCCTGTAATACCAGCACTTTGGAAGGCCAAGGTGGGAGGCTCACTTGAGCCCAGGAGTTCGAGACCAGCCTAAGCAGCATAGGGAGACCCTGTCTCTACAAAAAATACAAAATTAGATGGGCATGCTGTGATGCACCTGTGGTTCCAGATGCTTTGGAGGCTGAGGTGGGGGATCTCTTGAGCCTGGGAGGTGGAGGCTGCAGTGAGCCGTGATTGTGCCACTGCATTGCAGCCTGAGGACCAAAGTAAGACCCTGTCTCTGGAAAAAAAAAAACAAAGAGAGGAAAAAAAGGGAATATAATTATGTATTATTTGTATGACAAAAAATAAATTTAAATTGCCTCTTACTTTAAAGAGAGCTCACCAAATTTAATTCTGAAATAACCATAGGATTGCAATCAACACAGGTTGATTTGGGGTATGGAGGGGAAATACGTTTTCTCAGAAGTACAGACTTCAAAATTCTGGACCAAGAAGGATCTTACAATGCAGTTAGTTTTTTTGTTATATTTGGCAAGAATATACTCACAGTTTCTCGGTCCAACAGTATGCCTTCCATACCTTTCCATCAATGTAAGAAATATAGTTTCCTTGGAAATTTAAGATTGTGAAGGTGCCATTGTAGGTGTTCGGCTCTGGCACAGGCACGTGGCGGAGCCTCTGCTTTGGGCTGAGATCAGTACATGACAGCGTCTCACCTCTGCAGGTACAGAGGTCACATATGTTGGTGCTTGTGGAGGCCTGTTCTTTTCGTGCAGTTAAAACCCTATTTTGGGCATAAGTTTCAGGCTGCACCAGTGAATCCTGAGGAGGTTCTAGTTCAGTAGGTGGACCTGTGACTTCAGTCAGGTTTTGATGCTGAGTCTGAACCTCATCTGAATGAGGAACTGTAGTCTTCTCCAGGGCTGTAGAATGTCCAGTCTCTGTAGTGGGTTCTGGAGTTATGGCAAGCCCCAGATCTGGAGGCAGAGTTGAGGTCTCCTCCGTGGTTGGAGACAGTTTTACCTCTGTAGTAGGTTCTGTCGTGATGGTAAACTCCAGTCAGAGGCTGAACTATGACTTGAGTCAGGTTTGAATGCTGAGTCTGACCCCTGTCTGAAGGTGGGAGTGTCCCCTTAGGGTATTTTGGAGGAGAAGCTGTAGTCATCAGGGCTGTGGAAGGTTCAACCTCTGTAGTAGATTCAGAAGTGAAGGTAAGCCCCAGATCCAAAGGTTGAACTGTGGGTTGAGTCAGGTTTGAATGCTGAGCTTGACTCTTGGGTGAAGGTGAAAGTGTCACCTCAGGGTATTTTGGAGGAGAAGCTGTAGTCATCAGGGCTGTGGAAGGTTCAACCTCTGTAGTGGATTCAGGAGTGATGGTAAGCCCCAGATCCAAAGGTTGAACTGTGGGTTGAGTCATGTTTGAATGCTGAGTCTGAATACTGTCTGGATGTGGCAGTGTCACCTTAGGTGCTTTGAAGGAACTATAGTCTTCCTCAGGGGTATAGAATGTTCAACCTCTGTGTTGGGTTCTGGAGTTAGGGTAAGTCCCAGGTCCAATAGTTGAACTGTAACACTGGATGACATTGAATGCTGAGCTTGATCCTGACCTGGTGTTGGAAATGTTACCTCTTAATATAATAGAAGCTGGGTTACAACTTTCTTAGGAGGCTTAGTTGCAGTCTGCTGCATGGCTGGAAAAAGTTCAACCTCTGTCGTGGATTCTGGAGTGATGGTAAGCCCCAGGTCCAAAGGTTGAACTGTGACACTAGGCGATGTTGAATGCTGACCTTGATCCTGACCTGGTGTTGGAAATGTCACCTCATAATGAGCTGGAGGTTGAGCTGCAACCTCCTTAGATGGCTCTGGAACCTGAGCTGGGACCATCTGCTGGCTTGAAGGTTCTACCTCCTTAGGGGGCTCTAGAGCCTGAACTGTGGCTTCCTGCTGGGCTGGAGAAGATTCAAGCTCCCCAGAAGACTCAGAAGGCTGAACTGGCTGCTCCTGCTTACTGGGGGAAAGTTCAGGCTCCATAGGAGGACCTGGAGGCTCAGTTGGGGTCTCCTCTTGGATTGCAGAAGGTTCCATCTCTTCTGGAGGCTGAGCTAGGGTCTCCTCCTCAGTGTGAGAAGGTTCAAGCTCCCCAGAAGATTCAGAAGGCTGAGCTGGCTGCTCCTGCTCACTGAGGGAAAGTTCAGGCTCCATAGGAGGACCTGGAGGCTCAGTTGGGGCCTCCTGTTAGGTTGTAGAAGGTTCTACCTCCTCTAGAGGCTGGGTTAGGGGCTCCTGCTGGGTAGAAGAAGGTTCTACCTCCTCAGGGAGCTGTGGAAGCCGCACTGGGGCTTCTTGCTGACGTGAAGAGGACTGGATCTCTTCAAGGGTCTCTGGATTTTGAGTTTCAGGCTGTAGATTGAATTGAGACAGTCCAACTTGCTCACGGGGCCCTGGAGGCTCATCTGAGTTCACCTGGAGTTCACCTGGAGGCAGGCTGCCGGGATACAGCATATCCATACTTGAATCTAAATACTCATCCTGCAAAGTTTGTTTCTGATGCTGAGGTTTTGATACCAATTGATGTGGAATTCCCACAGCCTTAGCAAGGCTCCAATGCTGAGCTAAATCTTTCTTCAGGTTCTTGGGAGAAACTATAAACTCCGTTGCTTTTGAATCCTTACTTTCTAGAGGTGGAACAAATTATTTCATCTGCCTGATGATCTGCAGCCTGATCTAGATCTGCAGTTTGAACCTTGCTTTTGAGGCGAGGAGGCTGAACGAGGGTCTGGTTCTGATCCCAGTCCGGCATTGGACCCACCTCTGGGAGCCTTTCTTGCCAAGTCAGCTTATCATTCAGATCCGGGTGTGCAGATGAGAAGTGCTCGGGCCCCGGGGGCAGCTCTCCAGCTGAATCTGTGTCCAGAAATTCAACTAAATTCTCAATCGATTCCTGGGACGGGGCTGACCTCTGGGAGGAAGCAGAGGACCCCAGGTAATCAAAGCTCCCTGAGTCTGCCGGGAAAGTAGGCCCATGGAGAGATTCCCATCAGAGGAGCTGGAAGATCAGGGCTCAGTCGGCCCCACCAGGGGGTAAGAGGTCAGCTGGAGCAGGTCCTTGACCCACTCCAGAGGCTGAGCCTACTGGACTAGTAGCCACAATAGTTGCCACATAAGGAGGGGCCATAGGGCTCAGAGACTTAGCTCAGACATGACAAGCGCTGGCACCACGCATTGAGCAGGAACCATTCTGGCAGCCCCTAGAGGCTGGTGTCCCTGACAAGCATGCGCCCTGCCTGGTCCTTTATGACACCTTTATTTACACTACCTTTATTAGGATTGGGTCCAGTTCTGCTCCATGTCACCAGGGTGATCTTATGTCACAATCCTGCCCAAGCCCCCCTCCCTCCCCGCTGGAGGGGGAACACCCCTCCCTCCCCGCTTAGCTAGGAAGGATTTGGGCCACAGACCCGGGTGGGTCCCAGGACTCCAGCAGCCTGGTGGGGTAGGGTGGAGTGGTGTGGGGGCACGGCAGAGCTTCCCAGGGAAGTCACAGGACCTTGTCTCAGGATATTCAGAAGCGCTATCCCAGTTCTGGCAGCCTGAACTCTTCCTCCTCCAAGGTGAAATCTGAGAATACTCCTCCTTCGAGGGAAAGCAAATGACCCTGATGATCCTTTCTGACCATCCATTGAAACCAAAGTAGCAATTCACCAGTTCTTGGCTCCAGGAGTTGTTTAGGGCAAGGAGGGCCTGATGTTGAACTGCCTTATGTCTGGTGCCAAGACAAACTGTGGAGCGGTGCCTCTCTGGACTCTAAAATCTATAGCGGGTAGCTGTCAGCTGAAGTCCCCTCTAGAATTCAGTCTTTCAGCGGAGGCTGAGGCAGGTGAGGTGCTGAGGCAGGACTCTGAAGCTCCCAGTCAGTGGGAAGGCGGCTTTCTCCATCCCTCCCTCCACCCTGGCCCCGGCTCACATGCAAAGCCTTGATTGTGGGTCCGGAGCTCAGCTCTCACACTAGCAAGGTTCTGTTACCCTCTGTGGGAACCGCAAAACGTACCAGCTCCGCCATCCTGCTTCACTGCCCGCGCCTCAACATGGTCTTACAATATGAACTAGCAATTGTGCTCACTGGTATTTAACCAAAGAAGCTGAAAACTTATGTCCACATAAAAACATATGAACAAATATTTATAGTAACTTTATTCATAACTACCAAAACATTATGCAAGTGCGATGACTTTTAGTAGGTGAATGGATAAATTGTGGTACATGCAGATAATGGAATATCATTCAGCACTATAAAGAAAATGGAAGATGGGCAAATAGAACCCTCCAGCGAGTCTCCCCACCAACCCTGAGAAGGAAGATTAAATTGAGCAACTATCTACACAAGAAAGTACCTTCGCAAACCAAAAAATCAGGTGAGAGATTATAGTACTTGGTTTTTTGCATAAAGAGAAAAGATATATTGAAGAAGATATGAAGGATAGTCTTACATTGCCTATACCACTCTATCCCAGCCCCAGGCAGTGCCTTGCAGTGACAGAATCTATGTACTTAAGGAACACAGAAGGAAGTGAGTGGGAGACTGCATTGGAACTCGGTGTCTTTCTCGCCACAGTGGTACACAGCACTCAGCAGAATTCCCCTGCTACTGGCCAGGCACAGTGGCTCACATCTATAATCCCAGTACTTTAGTAGGCCAAGATAGGTGAATCCCCTGAGGTCAGGAGTTCGAGACCAGCCTAGCCAACATGGCAAAACCCCGTGTCTGCCAAAAATTAGCTGGATGTGGTTGCAGCCGCCTGTACTCCCAGCTACTCAGGAGGCTAAGGAAGAAGAATTGCTTGAATCCAAGAGGTGGAGGTTGCAGTGAGCCGAGATCGCACCACTACACTCCAGCCTGGGTGACAAAGCAAGCCTCCATCTCAAAAAAAAAAAAAAAAAAGAAAAGAATTCCACTGCTACTGATTCTAGGTCAGTACCTACCGGAGGAAGAATTCAGACCTGTTCCAGGCCAGATGAAAATCTGCTACCCCATCAGGAGTACTAGCCCCCTTTAACAACAGCTGACTGAAGTGGCGTTGGGCCCTGAATAAATTTCAGTGGTAGCCAGGCTATAGTAATCATGGTCCTTCGGTAAACCCCAGTGATGCACAGTTCTGGGAGGCTGTAGGCTCGTGCTATGACCCAGAGTGATACCAGCTGTGGTGGTCATGGGAGTGTTCTTATCGTCCCTCCCCCAACTCCAGGCAGTGCAGCATGGAGAGAGAATCCTTCTGCTTTGAATAAGGAAAGGAAGAAGTAGAATGGACTTTTCCTTGGAAAGCAGGACCAGCCCTGCCATAGCACAATGCAGCAGTAGGCAGAACCTCAAAATTCCTGAATTCATGCCATTGCTCCAATATGGTGCTTCTAGACCTACCCTTGGCCAGAAGGGAATCTGCCACTCAAGAAGGACAGACCCAAATCTTGGCAGGTTTCACCACCAGTTTACTAAAGTGGCGTTGGGCCTTGAACCTCAGTGGCAGTCAGGCAGTAGCGACTGCAGGCCTTTGGTCAGTGCAGTACTGGCTGGAAGGCCATGGGCTTCAAGTGCAACCTAGCTTTGGACCAGCTCTAGTGGCTACAGAAGTGTCTTTGTCGCCATTCCCCAACTACAGGCAGCACAGCACAGAGAATCTCCTTCTGCTTGGGGTAAAGAAAGGAAAGTGAGCAGGTAAGTTTGCCTGAGAACTCAGGGAATTCTTTCTGTTCTTTTCCACGTCTAACAGAACTGAATATCTAGGAGTCTGCACTAGAATCACAGCATATATGGGCTTAGGGTACTCTCCAGTGCTGTAATGACTGCAGTGACCACAGGTTTGGGACACTCAGCCAGCCTACGTTGAATTTCTGGAAGGCACTCTGAAGACAGATGGGTATACACAAGGATAGACTATGAAGACTAAAATAAACACCTAAATCTTTAATGCCCAGACACCAACGTATGTTCACAAGCATCAAGGACATTTGGGGAACTATGACCTCATCAAAAGATATCAGTGGTACCATAAGGTACCAGTGACCAAACATGGAGAGGTGCAGATGTGTGGCCTTTCAGGGAGAATTCAAAATAGTTGTTTTGAGGAAGCTTAATAAACTTCAATAAGACATGGAGAAGCAATTTGGAAACAGAATTGTTTCTGAATTCTCTGTTGAGAAATTCAACGGAGATTGAAATAATTTTGAAAAATCAAATAGAAATCCTAGAGCTGAAAATACAGTTGACATAGTGAAAATGCCTTTGAGTCTCTCAACAGTAGAATTAATCAAGCAGAGAGAAGGATTCATGAGCTCAAAGACAGCCTATTTGAAAATATGTAGTCAGAGGAGAAAAAAAGAAAAAAAGAATGAGGAACATTTATGAGATAGAGAAAACACTCTCAAAAGGGTGATATTAAGGCATTAACCTTAAAAAGAGAGTAGAGAATAAGACAGGAATAGAAAGTTTATTCAAAAAAGTAATAATAGAAAACTTTCCAAACCTAGGGAAAGATATAAACAACCAGGTATAAGATAGTTGAAGTCCCCAAGCAGATTCAACCCGAGGAAGACTACTCCAAGTCATGTAATTATCAAACTCTCAATGATCAAGGACTAAGAAAGTGCCCTAAAATCAGTAAGAGAAAACAGGAACATACATATAAAGGAATTTTAATACATCTGATAGTAGACTTCTCAGTGGAAACCTTATGGGGTCAGGAGGGAGTGAGATGACATATTCAAAATGCTGAAGAACAAAAGCAACCAACCAGAAATAGTGTACTGAGCAAAGCTAACCTTCAAACACAAAAGAGACACATAGAATTTCCCAGACAAGGGTGAGTGTGGAGTGGGATCCGAACTCCTGGGGCGATGTAGGGGAGGCTAGTGGCCACCACTACTGTGGTTTTCTACAAGGGTCCAGCAAAAATAGGGGTGGCACAAGGTGTGGTGGGGCAACCCAGGATCCCCCAGGACCCTTGGCTCTGTGCAACAAGGGGCCTGCGATTGCCAAGGCCGAGGGGCAGAGGTGAACGTGGCCCCCATGGATCTGCGGCCCCGATAGGAATTTAAACTGTTTCTCAGATGTGTACAGCAGAACTCAAGAAGACAGACTACCAAGGGTCATCGGAAATCATGATTGGGTCACTAATACTAGGACAAAGTTAGAGGTCACTATTCAAGCACAAGCCCCAGTTTTCATAAGACAGTTTATGAAGATGTCTGATATAAAGGCTTGGGCTGAGCATGTTGTGCAATGGGCTGCAAAGGATCCATATGGCTTCCTTACAACCTATTTTGGTCCTTACTCCACTGTTCTTAGCATGTACTGTACTGTCTTGGAAATTGGCCAAAATGATTGAGGTCAGGAAAATGGAGCAAAAGAAGAAACAAAAACACCACAAAAACATTGCAAAAGCTAAATGAATAAAAAAGGACTGAAGGACTGAACAGACTCTGCAACAGGAGAAAATCATTTGGAAAATCATGCAGCTTGGGAAAAACCCAATAAAGTTTCTTCTTTGGATTTCTGGACACTATTATTTAGTAAATGAAATCTGACCAAATGGAAGAATCATATTAGTTCTGACCCCAATACTGTAGTAGCTTTTTGACTTGGGTAGAAGTTTATAGTTTCTATTGACAGTTATTGCAAATTAGCATTTATTTTGGAACAAATTCTTTATAATTGACTTAGTCATTTGTTGCTTAGCAGTTTATGTACTAAAATGAAAACATCCTGTAGGGAAAAATGACTTTAGATTATGAATTCAATTCAAATGAACTCTATTTAAAATGGGGTCCTGTTTTGGACAAAGGGAATTAAGGATGTAAAAGTCAGAACTGTCCTATCTGAGGTGAAAAGTGTGCTTTGACTTGAAAAAGATACAGCATATTAATTACATCTTTTATTATTATTGCTTATTTCTTAGAATCATTTCTGGTTTTCTCAAAATAAAGTAATACTAATCAATGAGTACTCCTATTTGCTGCATTTTCTTATTTTATCCTTTGAGACAGCTGGTAATTATCAAGACATTTTGCATTTTTAAAAACGTAAGTTTATAAAGAATTCTGTTATCTTGACTGTAGAAAACCACCTACTGGATAGAACAATTCTGTACTTGAAACACTGCCATTTTCTTAGAGATGGTTTGCTGAGAGGAGTAACATTATGGTTTAGAGCTTGCAGTAAAAATGCCAACCACTGTAGTACCTTGGAATCAGGTTATTCTCGTGCTAAGCAGAACTGTAAAATAGTTAAAATGTCTTATCAAGTATCTTATCAAGTGATTTGTTGATTACATAGACATGACTTTTGTTTTATATTTCATTTTTTAAGTCATGTGGTAGTGATATTTAATACTCTCTGATCAAACAGGTTCAAAGTGAAACTTTAAATTTCAAATTTCTTTTAA